TAATTGTCCCAATGATCACTGAACTTGTATTTTCAATTGCTCACTGTAATTTAAGACGCCAAGTTTTGACCACTAAACTTATCCAAATGTTGGACATTACTTATACGCATAATATCCGTTTCAAACTTTTAACGGAATTTGTGACGCGGCTAACGTAATGCACATGTGGCGTCTCATCGCGTCGTTAATAAATTGTCACGTTTTCAATCACTCACTAAACATTAAAAAACGCCTTCTTCTGCTTACTGGACTTTGAGGATTTGAATTTTTACTACTAAACCTATAAAAATGACGTCCACATATTGCTCGTTAGAAACATGTACAACAAGCGCATGAGTCGTGTAAAAGTAATAAAGTCGACAAATGAGTCTGATTTGTCGATTTGACAAGAAATGATTATTCAATTGCACAATAGTTGAATTTAATTTTAACATATTTTTATAAAATTTTAAACTACTTTCATCATTTAAAAATACGCAATCCACTCAATTAAATTTATCAATCTTGTTACACATATATCGATGCTTACCTAATGGTACATGACAGACACTCTATCATTGGACATTTTAAAATACAAATAATTTTTTTATCCAATCATTTCCCTTAAACTCATCTTTGACACTACTGGACAATTTCTTTTGGTAAAGTAGATTAATTCTAAATTTATTGTGTGTTTCATTACAAACATCCTAATTTTAATAATTTTTTTGTTTCTTTGCAAAATCCATTTAATTAAATTTATTTTCATTGCAAAATTCAAATTATATTTTAATTTAATTTTAACAACGAAACATACAATACATTTGAATTTTTCAAATGATGAAAATAACTTAAAATTCTTTTCAATTATTTTAAATTTAAATTTTACTATTGTATAATTGAATAATCATTTCTCGTGGAATCGACAAATCGAGCTCGTTTGTTCACTTTATTACTTTTACGTGATCCATACGTTTGCGATATACATTTTTTAAGGACGACGACATTTTTATAAGTTCAGTGATCAAAGTTCGACCTTCTCAAAATTTAGTGAATAATCGAAGACTTGACATTTGTTAACGATGTGACGTGGCTCTAAGTGTGCATTCTGTTTGCCACGTTACTAATTTCGTTAAAAAATTAAAACAGATGCTATGTCAGTGAATAACGTCGAATATTTGGATAAATTTAATTATCAAAACTCGACATCTTTAAGTTTATGTAAGCCATCGAAAAATAGACATAAGTTCAACAATCAATGGTACAGTAAATTAAGATATTTAAGCAGTACGTCTCGCACCGCTGCCACCTCATATTGCGTACAAAACTCACTGAAAACATGTATTGATGACTTAACTAAAGAGCTTGTTATTACGTGTCAGATTCCTGTTGCTTATAAGCCTCTATACATACACCTGTCCCACAAACTTCTCTTCGGTGGCCAGTCCCTGCTCTTTGCCACGTGTCCTCCTTTAAGCGTTTTCTTGTGCGGTGTGGAGGAGAGTGGAAAGTGATATTGCCACTCCTAATTGTTTTCCTCCCATTCTCCAAATTTCAAGAGATGTGATGAGTAACTATTTGGCTTCGCTAAAATTATAATTTCAATTTATGTGATATTATATGATAGATTAAACAAATGATAAAATTAAATAATTTATTTCATTAACGTCATATAATTTGAGGTTATAATCCTGGCTGGATAGTATCTCTTATTAGAAAAAGTTAATCCTTAAAATTATGTTCCAAATAACTCTTTAAATTAATATTTTAAATAAAGAGTGAATTTGATTCTACAAATTTGATAAGTCAAATTCATTCTCTAAAATTTCAATGCTCCATATATTGATTCAATTAAATAGTATATACAAAGAAAATTGAAGAAAATAATATAATACTTTGCAAGTAAGCTAGTGAAAATAAAAAATAGAAAAAAATAATAAATTTATATTGAAAGTAGTAAATTTAAGTGTTAAAGATAGAAATATGTGAGTATTTATAAATTTTTACTCTTTAAATTTATAGACATTTTTTAAATATTAAAATAAAATATGCTCTTTAAAAATTGAAAATATCTTGAAGAAGCTCTCAGAGCATGGACTCTAACTATAAAATATTCTTCATTTCAGAGGGTTAATACTTAAAAATAGCTTCTAAAAGACAGTTATTTAACTTTTAAATATAAGTCTCTATATTCATAATTTAAAATAATTATTTTATTTCTTAAATTATTCAAATCAAATTTGAATTGATTGGCTATTGAAATATAGAAAGAATAACCTTGCTACATGTACATTATGGTTTACATTATAATTTATCGAATTTACACTTGGTACAATCTCACACTATCTTTCACATTTCACACATTTAATCAAATCATCACAATATTGACATGTCACCCATTGTTCAATAAATGTGTAAAACTTAATGTACAAATAACTTAATTGATAAAGAAACAATCTTACAGTCAAAAAGTGATAAAATTAATATTAAAACATTTAAACGATAAAGACTTATCATCCATATATAAAAGGCACTTCAAAAGAAAAACGAAATATTAATTTTTTAGCATCATTCACCAAACGGGACTAAAATATTTAGCCCTTATATTTAATCTAGATTTTTATTAAAATTAAAGTTAACAATTAATTTTCACAATATATTTCATGAGTCTATAACTTTTCAATTATACATTTCATTAACTGTTATCAAAATCTGTTAAAATCTGATTTTAATCATCATCATCAAACAGGACTTAGTAATTAAGATTTATTTTTCTTTATGACCTTTTTGTTTGCAAGTACCTATTTGCCATAAGAAATTTGATAGAGAATGTCAAAAGGGAATTGATGGCCTGGGTGCCAATAGCAACAATTCGAAGTTAAAAAATATTTGACTTAGAAGTGTTAATTATTTATTAACGTAAGCTTCTTGTTATTCATTGCCCAAATATTTTCCCATTACACACACACACACATTATCCGTATCCTCCATTGTTGTAAATTTCAAGGGGTTGATTTATCGGTTACTGACGATTGCAAGTTTAATGAATTAAATATAGTTGGAAATTGGGTTTTGATAGGTAGGTATGAATTATAATGGTAAGATTGAGGAACCCAGGGAGGATTATTTGAAATTGGAGGGGAGTTTTGATGGAGGGGTCCACGGCGAGACATCGATGTCATCGGGTTGCGTCGGCGGCGATGGAGGGTGGTTCTGGTCGTTGTGGTGGTGGTTAAAGATGGTGTTGGTGGTGACATTTTTAGCGGTCTTGGCTGCCATTTTCTGTAAATGGGTCGGGCCCTTCTTCATGGACAAGGTCATTTTTCTTCTAGGAAATACTTTGCGTTGAATGTTAATTATTTTTATGGCATTCTCCAACTCTGAGTTTAGTATTTGGGCGTTTTCTTTTTAGCATAAACACTTCCCAAACATGCTTTGCCTTTTCTTCAAGTGTTTCTTATATTCGCATTTTTTAGTTTTCAATTTATAATGCAATAATATATTTTCTGTTTATTCAAGTGTTAAATTTTCGGAATAATGGAAAGTTAAATCTTGTACAGTCTATTTTTATTGAGAAATGTTCTCGTTTTGGAGAAGGTATTACAGGAAGCAGATTTAGCTTGGGAAAGAAATGTGATGTGGAATTAGTAGAATCAGCCATTGTTTGGTAATATGGACGGAACGAAATTGTAGAATTCTTGGAAGGAAATGAGGAAGTTGAGTGTGATTATGAGGAACGGCAAATTCCTAGTGTCATTATGGGTCTCTCTACTTCTAAGTTTTTTTATGGTTTTTAATTGGAAAGTAATACTCCATTCTTGATTTTAGTTTTGTATAGAGGATATATTGTCATCTAGAATTTGTAAATTCTGTCCTTTCATTAATATTAGTAAGCATGTGTGTATGCATCTTAAAATGAATTTGAGAGAATCTATATCCCTTAGCTTCTCTGTGCTAATTTGACGTTGAAAAATTTCCGTGTTAGTTTCTCTTTGTATGGTCTAATAGAAGCTGATATCTCAGTTGATTTGATTGGATAATAGAAAAAAAAGTAGAATTGTATTTATACAATTAAATTGTGTTTTGTTTGGAGGAGAAGTTATGGGAAAGGGAAGGGAAGGAATGGAATTGACAAATTAGTTATGAAGGAAATAGTGGATAATTGAGGCATACTACAGAAAGAACATATCTTGCAATCCATGGAATCATTTTCCTTTTCTACCCCTTTCTTTATCCAAACACATAAGTTGAAGATTCATTATTCCCTGCATTTTGCTTCTCCTTAAGTTGAATGGATGGTGAAACTTAGACAGCATGTTTTGTAGAGGTTATGAAAATTTAATCACTCTATGTTCTTCCCCTCCTTACCATCTTCTATCACGTGAATGACATTGTTAACAAAATGTCTAATGTCACGGCAAGAAATCAAGCAAGAAGCCTAGATGTGGTTTGGTACCATTTATATCGATGATCATGGTTCCCATCTCTTCATGTCGCTGTCTAACTGTATCTCGTCTTTTCTCCAGGAAATTATACCCATAATTCATTGGGAAATGGAAACGTTCAGTAAACAAGTGCTGGCACTTCTAGTCTTTGGTTCTGTGGCATTATTTCCTATCCTGCTTTTACCTTCTACTCCTTCCATGTGGGTTGCAGGGATGACTTTTGGATATGGGTATGGTTTTCTGCTGATCATTGGAGCAGTTGCAATTGGTGTGTCTCTTCCATATTTCATTGGTTTTCTTTTCCGTCATAAAATCCATGTACGTGCCTTTCATAATCTATTCTATTTAGTGTTTCCTACTTTGTCTGTTACATCATAGTAAATGTGAGTCTAATAATTTCTTCTCCTTATAGATGTGGTTGGAGAGGTATCCAAAGAAAGCTTCCATCATAAGACTAGCTGGTGAAGGAAATTGTTTCAATCAATTTAGAGCTATTGCATTGATTAGGATTTCTCCTTTCCCTTATGTCATATATAACTACTCTGCTGTGGCTACCAATGTTGGATATGGTCCATACTTATTGGGGTCACTAGTCGGAATGGTACCTGAAATATTTGTTGCACTCTACACGTAAGTTTCTCTTTCTATCTATCTGTCTACCCGCCTTATCCTCCTCACGTGCACTCATTTCCCCCCTGCTATTATGTATTATGAAATTACAAGGCTACTTTTGTTTGTAGCGAGTTGCTGGTGTTATGAAACACAAACTTACTTTGTACAATCGTCCATGTACATCCTAATGCATCACATTCATTTATTTTAGTAGATTCATCCATAGATGATCATTCACTGTCTTCTTTAATGTTTCTTATCCGGTCTTCTTCTTTTGGTGTGTGCCTTGTCCAAATAATGGGTTTCCTCGAGATACAAAATTTGCAATTAGATAAGAAAATAGGTTTCTGGCACTAGCTCTCATAGGATGCAAATTTTTGCTAGTTTCAGATTTTGCAATGTTTGTGAATGAACCATACCTTGAAATTGATGCTAATTCTCTTCAGTTCAATGTGGTAATTGTGGAGTTGACACTGTATAATTACTGAATGAAATTTTCTTCTGGATTCATGAAGTTTTTTGTTTTGTAGTGGCATCCTGGTAAAAACGTTGGCTGATGCATCCCATGATCGGCACTCTTTGTCGGCATCACAGATCATTTTCAACGTGGTTGGATTTTGCATCACAATGACTACAACAGTGATAATCACATTGTATGCTAAAAGGAGGCTCAATGAACTGCAAAGGGAAGAGGGCCTATTGTTGCAGTGATCTCAGGTTTTCTACCTGCAAAATTAAGTTGGACAAGGCAATGACATGCCACAAGACGATTCATGTTCCTTCACCCACTGAAGGTTCTTGACAATCACTCGTCGATATGGATGCACAGAGTGGAAGGAAAAGGGAAGCTAACACGACTAATATAGCATGTCGATTGATATAGTGGTAACTGGTAAAATTACATATAGTTCCTTTCTCCTCCGTAGAATAAATTTGTACATGATTGAAATCCCATCTTTTTAAGGGTTAAATTACTGTAACCATTGCTTTGCAAATCAATAGTAGGTCATGTTGATGTTTATATGTGTTTCCTTTTCTTCTGATGTGTGCCATTGAGATGAGTCTTTGAGCACATGTAAAATGTAATCACTCAAGTTGTCATTCTCTAAATTTATCAACAAAACTTCTCTATAAGAGGAAAACAAAATCTATAAATGGTTTTTATTTTAATTTTCTATATATATATATAAAGTGCCTATTTAACGAAATTTGTTGTTTTAACGGATTATGTAACGGAATTTTTTGTTTTAAACAGGCAGTTGCACCTTTTTTCAGTGTTTTTATCATAACTTTATATTTCGATATCTGATTGAGGCGATTCAAAATGCGTTGGAAAGCTAACCCATCTGGCTACAACTTTGATTCAGACATCATTCTCCAATTCGATCACTTTCTATGCCAAAAATATGTCTCAATATAACGGACTATGTAACG